GGTAAGGTTCCAAACTAATTAAGTTAAGAGTTAAGACCTTGATATCAAAAATATGCTGTATCCTTTTCAGAGGTATATTATACATTATAATACATTATTATATATTATACATGTACCTCTGAAAAGGTATCTGAAAAGTATCCTTTTCAGAGGTATATTATACATTATAATACATTATTATATATTATACATGTACCTCTGAAAAGGATACAGCCAGAAAAAGTTCTGAAGACTACCAAAACCTGAAAATAAACAAAAACGAAGATTGCAGCGGGTCATGATTGTAGGAAAAGTACACCCCCTTAGTTAAATAAAAAAGGTTGAACAATCATCCGACTATCTGAATCACTAGTCGTAGTCTTCATTTGAAAAAGTTACGAATTCATGTGCCTTCATCAATTGTGACTTTCACCTCTCAATATTTTGTAAAAGGTGGTATACAATTTGATGTCGTTGCGGTACAACACGAGAATAAGGGTGAAGACCTACACGGACGAGTTGACACCACTGGACTCGGCTTGTCCCGTTTACGTAGGCGCCAACTGGTAATTTGCCCGTTCTTTTTCCTTTAAATATTTTAGAGATACCTGATTTATATTGTACTGTATTACAATTCCAGGTACGAACGAGAAGTTTACGATTTGTTCGGCGTCTACTTCCAAGATCACCCGGATTTGCGGCGAATCCTCACGGATTACGGCTTTGAAGGACATCCGTTCCGCAAGGATTTTCCGCTTTCTGGCTACGTTGAGGTTTGTTTCCCACATCGATCAAGAGAACAGCGAATCTACAGTAATATAATGGGAATTTCAATTTTTCCGAGAGATTTTGGAGAGTACGCAAATCAACGATTTCGATGAAAATTATTTTTGCGAAATTACTTCGTTTTCCTTTGAAGGTGCGTTATGACGATGAGCAGAAGCGTTGTGTAATTGAACCGGTGGAAATGGCTCAAGAGTTTCGCAAATTCGACTTGGACGCAACTTGGGAATCGTTTCCCAAATTCCGCTCGTGATGAATCCTCACGGATTACGGCTTTGAAGGACATCCGTTCCGCAAGGATTTTCCGCTTTCTGGCTACGTTGAGGTTTGTTTCCCACATCGATCAAGAGAACAGCGAATCTACAGTAATATAATGGGAATACGCAAATCGATGATTTCGATGAAAATTATTTTTGCGAAATTACTTCGTTATCCTTTGAAGGTGCGTTATGACGATGAGCAGAAGCGTTGTGTAATTGAACCGGTGGAAATGGCTCAAGAGTTTCGCAAATTCGACTTGGACGCAACTTGGGAATCGTTTCCCAAATTCCGCTCGTGA